CTCAGTCACTCCTTCCCATTCTTAGATACTATGAATCTTGACTCATCCTCTGCTGTCCCTCCTTTACTCATATTGCTCCTTTGACCTCAGCCTGTTGAAACCCTCCTCATCTTTCAAGACCTAGATGAGGTGGGGCAGCTAGGTGGTGTATTGGATGGAGCTCCGACCTTGGAGTCAGGAGTACCTGAGTTCAAATACGGCCTCAGACACTTGACACTTACCAGCTGTGTGACCTTGGGCAAGTCACTTAACTCTGATTGCCCAAAAAAAAAAGAGAGACCTAGATGAGATGCTATTGCTTCTGAGAAGTCTTCCCAGATCAATTCCATCTAAAAAGAATGTCTTCTCTTCCTCCTTCCATCTCTCATAGCACTCAGCACCTTTGCTATATAGTCTTGTGTTCTAATTTATATCATAGTCATTTGTTTTTGTGCCTATCCACCTCCCAAGGCCCATTCATTCATGGGGCAGAGGCAACATGGTACAATGGGTAGAGAGCTGGGTTTGGAGTCCTAGGACCTGTGTTTGAATCTTGACTCTGTAGCTCATTACTGGTGTGACTTTGAGGAGTCCTTCCCCCTCTCTGAGTCTTACTTTGCCTCTTTTATAAAACAAGTGCGTTTGGATCCAATGATCTCCAAGGACCTTCCACCCCTAAGACCTACAGTCTTAACATGAACCTTGTGTTCAACATTTCTGATCCTGACAGCACAAGGCTGTGAAGGAGAACAGAGTGAATTGAACAGTAAGACATAGATTTACAATATTCTCATCAGATTAGCTGCCAGACCTAATGCCCATCATCTGAATACTCCTATCTATTTGCCAGACTATTTCCCCTTATAGGAAAAAGATTCTTTACTTATAAAAGTCCAAGTTTTCAGTTCAGGGTTTCCTATTTTTACAGTGACCCCCAAGATATTGAATCTATCTCTTTAAGCTCCTAGCCTCTGGAATACTAATCTCTGCAGCATAATATAAACATGTTTATGCTACATTTTTGTTTTTTAAAAGTATTTTCACCATAAAGGTCTTGTGAGCTACAGAGCTCAAATATCTCTCTATTTTACACATTAGAGAATCGAGACATAGATTAGTCAGCATACTTGCCCAGTGTAACTACAGCTAGCAAATGGTGAAGTCAGAATTCAAATTTTGACTCTGTCTTATGCTTTTTCTATGACATGCTACTGCTTCTCTACATAACTCCTAATTTCACTCTGCTGCTAATAAAAACAATCACTTAGGGGGCAGCTGGGTGGTGCAGAAGATAGAGCACCAGCCCTGGAGTCAGGAAGACCTGAGTTCAAATCCAGCCTCATATACCTGACACTAGCTGCATGACCCTGGGAAAGTCACTTAACCCTGATTGCCTAACACACAAAAACCAAAACCAAAAACCAAAATGATCACTTATATGGTCCTTTAAGATTTTCCAAGGGCTTTACAGAAATTCTTTTATTTGATTCTCACAGAAGTACTGTGAAGTATTATAGGCATTATTCTCATCTTACAGATAAGGAAACTGAGGATGAAAAAGGTTAAATGACTTGTCATACACACAGAGATCACAGGATACTGGAAGGGACCTTTGAAATACTCAGAGTCCCTTGAATCCAATTCCCTCTTTTTACAAATGAGGAAACTGAGGCTGAAAGGTTAAGTGACTTGCCAGAGATGCGCAGCTAGTAAGTGTTTGAGGCAAGATTTGAACCCAGATCTTTCTACCTCCAAGTCCAGGACTCTATTCACTATACCACAATGTCTTTCCCAATGAATCAACAAGCATTTATTAAGTACTTGCCATAGGCCAGACATCAGTCCCTGCTTTCAATAAGCTTGCATTCTAATAAGGGAGATGTGAACATATGTAATTATATAAATAATGAATCAAAGGTAATTTTGGGACAGAGTGTAGTCAGTGGTTGAGATGGGATTTGAACCCAGGGATTTTGACCCCAAGTGCTGAATATTATCCTTTAGGCTCTGCTGCCTCTTTCATGTCCCCTGAGCTGTTCTTTGGCTGGGGGAAGGCTCAAAACCCCAACCTTAAGGATAGGGATCCCTATAACTGGTGACAGGGGCAAGAATCTTCACGATATCTGCCCCTGGATTTCAGTCACGAGGCTGTGGCTGCCAGTTGGACTCTCTCCTTCCTGACCCCGCTGCTGTCCCTCACCTCATCTTCAGTGTCCTGTACCTCTCTGGAGTCAGGCACTGGGCTATTTATTACTTTTCACATTCTTTGACTCCTCTGCCACATTGGATTGATTTCAGGGTCAACTGCTTTTTGTCTTTGTGAGTAAGGATCTGCTAGCTTGCATTCTTCCCACCTCAACTCCTCTGTCTCATTCGATTTCCACTCTGTCTCAGTTGCTGTTGGCAAAATGTAACCGGCTTTCTCTTGCCATGTGATCATGTGCTCAGTGAGTTAAAGCAAAAACCTGTTAAATAAGAAACTCTATTCCTCCCCAGGACCACTTTTACTCAACATCAGATTTGGAACCATATAGTTAGAAGAGGATACTGAGGCCCATAGAAGTTATATTTTTTGCCCAACGTCACATAGCTGGTTTGGAAGAGTAAGGGGACTTGAACATAGGTCGTCTAACATCCAGGTCTTTTTGAATTCTTGTGATGCTATAGAGGTGGTTAGAGGCAGGTGGTTAGTGTACTGGGCCTGGAGTCAGGAATACCTGAGTTCACAACAGCTTCAGATACTCACTAGCTGTGTGATCCTGGGAAAGTCACTTAATCCCTGTTTGCCTTAATCCACTGGAGAAGGAAATGGCAAACCACTTCAGTATCTTTGCCAAAACAAAACAAAACAAAACAAAACCATTGACAGTATTGGTGTGCTATGAGCCATGGGGTCATGGAGAGTTGGATGTGACTGAACAATGACAACAATAGAGATGGTGCCATTAATGGCGGAACCTGAACTTTGATTCCCATAGGATTGTAGGTCATATATTTTGTCAATCTGAAAGGGAACTTGAAATCTATGCAAAGCATCCTGCTGAGCACTGGGGATGCAAAAAGAAAAAAGCATAGATAGTCTTTGTTCTCAAGGAGTTCCGATTCTAATGGAGGACACAACACATAGAGGAAGTTTCATCTGGAGGTCAGATGGAAAGGTTCCATGGGTCTGTAGGATGCAACAGTAAGGTAGATGGCAATACCCTATCTTAAGAGTCATTTCCACTGATAAAATTGTAACTGTTTCTTCTCAAATGAGATCATGTATATAAAAGGCTTTGCAAACCATAAGGCGCTCTGTCAACACAAGCTATTGATGATGATGATGATGATGATGATGATGATGATGATGATGATGATGATGAT